TTGAGCTCAGGTCGGGGATTTGAGTACCTGTGCAAGTTCGCTCATCAGAGCTACTTGCATGCTCAGTGGGTGCCTAGTGAGGAGATGGTTGATTTGGATGTGAGGAAGGTGTGGTATGGGAGGTGGGAGTAAGTCGGTTGTTGTCAGGGCGATCAGAGGTCTACAAAAATGCGGAATTTTAATCAGAAATATCATCGTGGATCTAATGGGGATACGCCGCAGAGGCACGCACATCTTAAGGATGCTGCATACCCGGGTAGTAGTGGGAGCAGTGGGGAGGGAAAATATAAAAATTTTGGGAAATTCTTATTGGTTTCTGTTTAGTTCTACCCTTACTCGTATGAAAACTCCTTTTAATAGTGAGAAAACACCTGAGCTCAGCTGAGTGAGAACTGAATTATGGTTACAGAGGAAATTATGGACTACAGCTCTCATACCACACCTTTTCGAATTTATGAGTCATCGAGGGAGATGATAGTAGGTTCGGGAATGATAAACCCCGCGTACGTCACAGTGGAGAAGATCCTGGCGTTGAGGTTGGCGGATTCTGGTGCTACTGAGTACCTCTGCAAGTGGTATGGGTTGGGGTACGCTGAGAGTACTTGGGAAGGAGCGTCCGATGTGGAGACGGCGGCGAGGCTGACAGAGAGGGGCAGGGGATTGGAGGAAATTATGGGAGAATTTCGGGGGGAAAATGACCCATCGAGGAGAGGGGTGATGGACTTTGACGTCAGTCTGAAGATGCGCACGGGTGCGACGGCTGGGTTCAGCAAAGCGTGTGGTAAGGAGGATGAGGATAAGAAGGCTCTAGTGTAAGGAGGGAGAATATAGGGACATGTTAGTTTGTGACACTATGGAAACGGTGAGGAAAGTATTGTTGGTTTCTGTGCATATTCTCCGGGATCGTGTTAGATTGCCATAGTTAGAAATGGAGCTGTTGAGGTGAGGAAAGTGAAGATATGTTCTAACAATGGAAGGGCTGTCGTTGTGATGCTAGGGGAGTCGATTTATGTACTGCACTGTGAGGGAAGCCCTGGGAGAAGGGGACGGAGGCGGAGTCTGCTCGCCACTGTTTGAGTTCCAAGTACAGGGATACATGGATGCTTATGCGATGGGAGAAAGTGTGGTATGGAGTATTGAGAATTTA